TCTTTATTTTAAATAATATTTGGCCAACCATTGCATAACTTCAATCAAACTATATTATATTTATATTTATTGGTCACAATTCTGTAACCATAAGAAACAACGCACACAACTTGAATATTTAATCAACATTTTTTTTTTTTTTTAAATAGTCTTTATTGAGATATGTTACAACCTGTCACATTCAAGGACAATAGTAATAGTGATATAGAGTAGCTCATTCATACTATGTACAATAAATAAAAATAACAAACAACAATATAATAATACTAAAGCAAATGTATATAAATTAAAGATACTAAATTAAACAAAAATAAACTAATGTAACAAAATAAATATTTAAATACACACATGCTTTCATACAATAGAAATAGAAATAGAAATAGAAAATTCATCTTTATTCTGGGACTAGGTCCCTTTAGAATAACAGAATTGTTCATATATATTAACTATAAATCTGGTCAAAAGACTTATTACAATGAATAATAACAAAATACATGTAATACATTAAGTATTAATTAAGCTCTTAGGATAAATTAACGAGGACAGTTGGGTAATAGAGGTTTAGTACTACAATATTGGAGCTAAAATAATTGCATAATAATCACTGAATGAAATTAGAAAGGAAAGTAAAATCTATTTTATAGGTAAAGCATTGTAGTGATGGAATATAAAAATTAAAAAAATAATAATAACTGTTAAAATGTAGGGAAAGAAATTGTAAAAATTAAACAAAAAAAATATAAAAAAAACAAATAATGATATACATTTGTTCCCTAAGATATTTAAGTGATTATGCGTAAAGATTAGGAGAAGAGAAAATAAAATAAAGTATACATATACACATAGCGAGAAGTATGTTGAAGATAATTAGAAATGAAATACATTTCATGAATAACAAATTAGAACTTCAGAAAAACAAATTTTATCTACTCACAATGCTTAGTGAGCGGTGATGAAAATTCACGTTCAACACAGAATAAAACAATAAAAAATAAGAGAAAAAAATAATATCTAAAGAAAATTAAATCCTTATAACATAGTATGTATTTAACCAGCGTCTGATTGGATTGTGAAGAGGAATTGGAATAAGAGGGTTTTAAAGGTGGATAAGGATGATGCATGGCGGATTTTTAGTGGGATGGAATTCCAGAATGCAGTGGAACGGACAACGAAGGAATGTTTAAATGATGCAGATCTGTGGAAAAGAGTGTAAAGGTCAGAAGGACGAGATCTTGTGGAGAGGGTGTGGATAGATGATTTGAATAGTAGGAGATTGTATGCGTAGGACGGACTATACAATATTTACAATATTCAGTCATCTCCGAGCCAAGCCTTTCGCCACACTCGTGGAAGGAAAGGCAGGACTCTAGGAGATCCCAGGGTCTTCCACTCAGCCGCATCAATGGTATTGCCAATGGAAGCTCAGCAGAATTATTTACATTCTACAAACCAAACTTTTACCCATCTTAACCACCGTGCCTTCATATCAGTGTATATTGATTGACCCATTTCTGTAAGCAATTCTTAATTGGTATTTATTTTCCATGTGATCCCAGATCGCTCCGGTTATCGTGTGAATGATTTTTCTCTAAAATCTTTCAACACTTATTTCTACGGTGCTGATTAGTGTCTAGGTTTCGCAGCCTTATATTAGAACTAGCTTTATCATAGGTTTGTATAACGTTAGTATGAAATTTGTTGAGATTTTTCGGGATTTCGATAATTTTAGGAGGGTGAAGAAAGCTTTATTTGAGCTAGTTATACGCTGGTCTATTTATATCCGTTGGTCATTTATTGAGGTTATTGTGGGAGCCGAGGTAGTTGAATTTTTCTACTCTCGGGAATGATTTTCCTTCTACGCAGACTCTATTATTGGGGTAGAATTTTCTTATTATCATATTTTTTTTTGTCTTAATTTATTTACTTGTAGGCCGATCTACTCTGCCTCTATTATCTATGCTGTAGCGAGGTTCTCAATGTTCTCTTGATTTCTTTATAGGACAGCTATCTGCGTATCCAAGGGTTTAATAATTTATTCCGACATTATATTGCCAATGTTATTATAAATTTAGTAATAACTAACTGATTTATTCGTTGACGGTAAAATAATGTTAGTAAATTTAAGTTTCGTACGACTTTAAGTTTTTTAGCTAGGCTGTTCACATACATACAGACACAGTCCATTTTTCGGGACTTGGTTATTTGGACCCAGGGGACCTCAAAAGGTGTATTTTCGTTGAAAACTCAGATTCAAAAATTTTTACATTCGCAATACTTTCCCTTACTATATATATATATATATATATATATATATATATATATATATATATGTAAGTGAAAGTAATGAAAATTGTAGGTTTCGATATTAATAATTTGAGTTTCTACCGCATGCATTAGAGATAGCTTGCTAATATGAGAGTTTTCCCTGTAGATAAAATAGTTATTTCTAAATCACTTAAATCATCAAACAACAAAGACAAGTATGCTAAATGCCATTATTAGCACAAGGTATTAGCGACATCTAAGGAGCTCGTGGGATAGTTGATTATGTAGCTTGTTCATGAAGCCTCGGCTTGCCTCTGAGATTAAATGCTCTCGAGACTAGAGAGAAATATATCTCAAAGAGCTCTCCTCTGCCTGATATATAGGAGGCCGTGGAAACAAAACACCCTCTAAGTAGTCCCCCGCTCTCACAAAGGCAACTTACAAACACAAAGGCAACCCGCGAACACAAAGCGTAATATCTCCGATGATATTGTTAACCGGGTGAGGGTCTGTCTTATGAGGGTTGTTAGGACGAACAGTGTTCTTATCCTTTATGTTTGTCTTTATGTGTTCGCTTCGGTTCGTAAACACATTATATCCTTCTAGGAAAACATCAGTGCCCCTTGCCTGTAGCTCTTGTATCATTGTTCTCGAGATATTTATGCTCTCTCTCGGATACAGGAAATAATGAAGCAACAATGTATTAGTTCGATAATTTTATAACAAAATGGATCACTAAAAGTTTTTGACAGATTTCTTAAAAAAAAAATACTGTAACTATATTGTTGCCTACACTTTTGTTATAATTAATAAATAGTTAAATAATTTATAACTTCAACCAAAAATCAGTCTTGCCAAGAGGTAGGTGAGGTTTAGTGTTGCCCAAAATCGGTCTTGGTCTTGCACTCAAGACCAAGGCCGCTTAACTACTGCAAGACCAAGACCAGGACTGATAAAAAAAAATTGATTTTTTAAATAAAAATTAAGGCAAAATAGTTACTAATACTTGACAATCTTAGTTACTATATGTTAATAATTGGTATAACCAATATACTTTTGTATTTAACTCCTCTAATTTTCCATTCGGGCTTAGTTAGGTTTCTCCTATCTAAAAATATACAATAATGTCTCTATAGTAATAAGCTAATAAGTAAATGTAAGACTGTTCCGAGACGCGCAAGACCAAGACCATGACCAAGACTGAGTTTGCAAGACCAAGACTCGTCTCTGTCTCGCATTTGGGGAACACTAGTGAGATTATGAACAAATAAAGAAAATAGTAATGTGTATAATTTTTGTATTATTCTATTTAATTTGTTTTTATTTTGTGTAAATATTGTGCGAATGCTTTTTTTTTTTATCATTATAAGTAATGTTTTTTATTGTAGTATAATCTAATAAAAACAAAATAAAATGTGATATAAAAAAAAAAGTACAGCCGAGCCCTATGGAACACAATAACTAATTTTATGGAATAAAACAAAGAGGCCGTGGTATCAAATTAACAACACCCTCCTGAAACTTTGTAAAT